GGAGTTGGGCAATCTCATCGCTACATTGAATTTGGGTTTGAATGTTGAAGGCAAGCCTATAGAAAAGCTTAGTTCTTTGGAGTACATAAACATGGAAGGTGAAGATGATTTTGAGGTGGAATATTCTAATGATGAGCTTGTGCAATTAGTGCAAGATGGCAAAGAGTTATTTGATTCCATGGAAGAAGAATCAATGATTGTTGATAGCAATGATGATGAGTATAAAGTAGTGAAGCTAAGCAAAGCACAAAAATATGCTAAGGATCTTTTGAATTCTATGGCTAGCCAAGGTTCTCAGATTTTCAACACTCAAGAGTTGTTAAGAATGGAAAAAATCCATGACAAACTCATTAGATTTGGTGTTGAACATTTAACATCACTAAAACAATGTGACACTATAAACTTCTTTGTTTCAAGTGAGAGTTCTCTACCGGATCTCAATGACACATTATAATGTGTTTTTGTTCTCATTCACGGTTTTGAATTATATTTTACATCTAAAAACTTTGAAGTCTTTCATTTTTTCATTTTTTTTTGCATTGTAGTTTTATTCTGATTTTTTAACCTTTTTTTCCGATATTATCACATTATGTACAAATTTTCAAAATGTGACATTATCAAAAATGTCACACCTTGTTTATATCACATTTTACAATGAAACGGAGGGTGTGATATTATCGAGGTTAGGGTGTACTCAAATTGTTAAAATTTGAATGTTTGATTGATTCTAATTTACATTGACTCAACTTATGTTTATAAGTTTCATGAAAAAAAATTTGATCTCTTGAAATGTGAGAGTCAAAAGGACTTGAGTGTTTGAGATTAGAGTATGTGAGAAGATTATCTTAAAAAGTCATAAGCACAAAAATCTATACTTGCTATAGGGCACTATCATCTTTCAAAAAGTTAATTATACTAAATCTTTAGTTGAGATGTTTCATGTGTGGCATTGTAGACTAGGTTACATGAGTAATAGATACTAGTTTTCTACATGGCATGATGAAGTTAACTTAGAGTTTTGCAAATATTGTATCATATACAAACATGATAAACAAACCTTTAATGTTGGAATTCAAATTTCCAAGGAGTTATTTGAGTATCTACATAGTGTTGTGAAAAAATACTCTCCAAAAGCCTCACTATTTAGGATTGTTTACTATGTATCATTCATTGATGAATACTCATGGTTTATTGCATTACACAAAAATTTGAGATGTTTACCACCTTCAAAATTTGAAAAGCCCAAGTTGAGAATCAAAGTAGACACAAGGTGAGATATTTACAAGTGTGACGGTATTATATTTTTCAAAAGTTTTAGATTTATTGCAAAAGGAGGAGATTACTTTCACCACAATTTTTTCTCATTTTTCACCACAATTTATACTCGCAACAAAATGTTGTTTCTCAAAAGTTCAATCGTACAGTGTTGCAGAGTTGCATGATATGTTGAATCAATTTGATTTCAGTATGAATTTTGATCTGAAGCTGTTAATAACGCATTATATTTGATAAACATTTCTCCATTTAGTGCAATCAATGTCTTGTTACTGTTTGAATTGAATCACAAACGTATTGGTGATTATAGGCTTTTGAGAATTTTTGATTTCACAATTTATTCTTTTCGTACCTAAGAAGAATAAAACTAAGTTAGATACTATATCCAAGAAGTGTGATTTTCTTGAATATGCTAGTAGTGTGAAAAACTATAAGCTATGAGATCCAATAGTCTGTAAAAAAATTGGAGTTTGGATTCATCTTTTAATGGAAATAGATTTTTGAAACAGAGTAAGATATCTCAAGCTCCTCATATCGAGAAGGAAAAATCTCCAACTCATGGATGTTATTGAGAAGGAGTTTGATTATTATGTGATTAATGATGTGCTATAACGCTAAACTTTTCTATATATGAAGCAAATTCCTGAACTTCAAAACTTAAAGAATATATTATTATTTATGGATCTTAATTATCTGCACAATCAATCAAAATTGTCTACTAGAAGATTATTGATTCAGATTAGTAGATTTCTTGCAAGATATGGATTATGAGTTAATTGATTCTTTTTTTGTGATATTGATTCAGAGTATTGTGATGACATTGCTTTGATTTTGGATCAAAGATAATCTTACTTTTTAAAAACAAGTTCCAGCTTTTGTAAATAAACCTGAGCAAATACGTGACTATAGAGCAAGAGATGCAATCATTTATTGATAAGAAGACTTGAAAGCTAGTGGAGCTTTATTTATTACCAGCTTTGATTGATTGCAAATGGATGTACAAGTTGAATATATATATTCCATATATATATATTCCAACAGTTGATGAGAGAAAACATTTTAAAGTCAAGTTAGTGAATAGAAATTTTACACAAGAGAAAATTCTGAACTTTAACAAAGTATTTTCACTTGAAAAAAAAATATGCTACAATTTTTCTAGTATTCATTTGATGCAATATTAATCTAGTTGAGAATGATAAGTATGTGATTATTGTAGATTTATGTGGACCTCTAGAAAATGCATTCTACATGAAAACTGTGGTTAAAATTGAGTATAAAGTACAAGAGAAATTGGTCTGTAGATTTTCTTTTAAAATATCAAAGGGATTGAATTAAATTTTTAGGCAATGAAAGGCACAATTTGATAAGTTCATGATAATACAAGATTTTTCATGGAGTATGTATGATATTTATGTATACATGAAGTTGAATAATGACATTTGCAATCTTATTTTTTAAAGATTTTATGTGAAAAATATGTTGGACTTGACAAAAAATAGTTTGGCCTTGACAGATGGAATAATCATCTGAAGTTTTTATTTAAGCTGAAGGATTTAGATAAGTCCACGATAATATTTGAGATGAATATTCATAAGGATTGATGAAGAAGAGGTTATGACTGAATCAAAGCAAGTATCTTCAACTTGTGTTTGACACGTTTAACATGCTAGACTCTAAAGAAATATGGATTCCTTTGATAATACACTTCAAACTTTCTTTAGCTCTATGTTCAATCGAAATCATAAAAAATTGAAAGATGTCATCAATAGTCTATGACATAGCTATGGCAAGTCTCATATAGTTGATAATGTACACAAGGTATGATATTGCTCTAACTATGAACATATTAAAATCAAATTCTGAAAAGGTTTTGTGGAAAGTAATGAATTGGATTCTCAACTAAGTGAAACGTACAAGGTATTATAGTTTATTGTTTGATGATCATTATACAATGTCAAATCCTTGCTAAACCACGTTGATGTTTATTAGGTACAAGAGAAAATAAACAACTCGGTATATGTTTATACTTAATGATGAATGCATTAGTTAGAAATCTAGCTTATAAACATGCATAGTTCATTTTACAACATAAACTAATATGTAATGGTAGCGAAATCAACAAAGTAAGATATTCGATTGAATAGACTTATCATCAAAATGAGATTAAAATACGAGGTCATCAATCTTCACTATGATCGTAAAATGCATTATATTTTGCTACAAATCAAATGATGGCTAGTAAAGTAAAACACATTGACATCAGACATCATTTTATCAAATGTGCAATATTTGATGAAAGTATTTAGCTAATCAAGATTAATTGTAAATTCAATCCAACTTATGTGTTGATCAACATTTTATTCTTTTTGAAAGTTTTAGTAGAAATTATGTTACTATGCAAGTTTTGAATGAATAACACAAGTAGAGTTTAATATCAATTACTTTTACTCTCTATATTTTTACTCTATCATGTTTTAATTACGTCTTAATATTATTGCTACAACTAGAAGTAAATTGTTATATTTTTTTCAAAATATCTCACAAAATAATTATATAAGTTATGGAGGTTATTGTACTCACAACATGATTTAAAGTGAAGATTGTTAGAAGTAACTCAAGTCTTATATTAAATTTAAGTTAATTTGACTCAAATTAGAATTAATATTAGTCTTACACTAGTTAGTGTTAAACCTAGAGTATCGGCTACCATGTATATATAGGAAGTGAAAACATATCTCACCTTGAACGTTTGTAGGTTCTTTATATAAAGATCTTGATGTTCACGTGGACGTATTTTCATAACCACTTATTTTACTGGTTGGCTTTATTTATACTTCTTTTAACATTCTCAGTTTGTGTTTGTGAAATCTCATGTTTCATGATATTGAATGTATAAGTTGATGTAAAATACAAATGCAAACATATCATATTACGTTACATCAATGTAAACCTTAAACGTAAAATCACATATATTTGATATTCGTTCTGATTAATTTTTGAATACAATTTGAAAATTTTTAACTTACGCATTTGATTTATTCCGTTGTAAAATCATTCTACTTAAAAAATTTATTTAAAAAAATTTAAGTAAATTATTTTATTGAATAGAATAGTATTAATATAAGATTAAAAAAAATCATGTTTTCAATCATTATACAAATTTTGATGAACTACTTGATATTGAATATCAGGAAAATGATAGATTAAATATCTTCAATCATTATTTAAAGAAATCATCCCAATAACTGTAAGTAGATTATAATTCTCATAATATTTTTATTAGATTATGATCATTATAGTAAAATAATATATATTTTTATAATTTGACAAAAATTCAAATAAAAAAAATCATCAAAATAATAAATACGAAAATTTTTCAAATAATTTACAATTCATACTATAAAAAAAAATAGAATTATGATTTTTAAATTACTAGATCAAATTATTTGTGGATAATAATTGAAAATTACTTTTTATTGATCATATATATAATTTGTTTTAATCATAATATTCAAACAATTTGAGTGGATAACATCGCACTTTAGGCGCGGTGAGCTCCACCGCGCGAACCGCGGATCATGCAAATTTTTTGGTTTATCTTTTGAAAGATCAAGAATAGTACGCTCCTTCATGTTTGAACTACCAGTTCCATCAACTCCAATCATGGAGATGGTGACACATAACCGCTTGTATGAAAATCGTCGACGATGACAAGGCGCGGTAACGAGTCTGCGGATGTAGATCTTCACACAACAAGCTGTAGGCGCAGAAATGCTTATTGCAGGGATCGATTGTCTCGTCAGATCATTGAGCTATGATGGTACGAGGGAGAGGGTTGAGCGATAAGAAGAATTTCAAGAAAAATCAAGCGCATAGCTAACAAGAAGAATCAAAGAGATGGATAATTCTCGAGAGACATCAGGAAAATTCGTTGATCCCTTGGTAGAATTGCCACTTGATGTCATCTCCAACATCCTCAAACGTGTGTTAACTAAGGATCTGAAGGAGTATCGTTTGGTGAGCAAAAGTTGGAAACATATGATTAGCATTTCCTTAGGATATCTTCTTCATGCTAGCGAGGAAGCTGTTCTTCTTCACCACCACAGTTTGCTGAACATCCCCATCGCCAAACGAAGGGAAAGAAGTTTTCTGAGCATCTTCAATCCCAAGAAAAATGTGTGGGAAAAGAGATGGCTTCCTTGGATGTGGTCAGCATATCGAATTGTGGCGGCGGATAGAGGATTGGTATTCTTTCTCACGAACGACCACAACCATCAGTTAGCTGTCTATAATCTTGTCACACAAACATACAGGGAGATGATTCTACCTCACGAATTCCGACCTCCGCACGAGAGGCTACTGATGGACGACAGGAATTTATTAACAGCCATATTTGTGGACAAGACGACAGGTGTCTACAAACTTCTGCTCGCAGGCCTGCTTTCTGGAGTGACGCTGCTGTACGATTCTGCTTGCTGCAGGTGGAGAGTGTCTGCACCCATCCCTTCTTCGTCGAGAGATAATATCGCATCCTTTCAAATAGTTGGAGACAACAAGAGCATAGTTCTCAATGAGTGTTTGTATTGGGGATTCCTTTGTCTGAGACGCTGGAAGTTCTTCAAGATGGTACTGAAGTTCGACATCAAACATGAGAGGTGGTGTAGAGCAGAATTGCCCGCGCCTCCTCTGTGGCAATTCCAGATAGCAGTCTGCAGTAACAAGATTATGACAATGAATCTCCAGCACGACTACAACTGGCCTCTTCCTTATCCGGCTTGGTTACAAGATGCGCGGATCAAAAACATTGGTCCTGAGTTCAAGGTGCCACCTATGACACAGAAGATGCTGGATCCTATCAAGAAAGAGCAGAGGAACAATGGCAGAAACTATTGCGGGGAATATTATGGAATCGGATGTGGAGAGAAGTTTTTTCATGTCATGAGAGGCAGTCGACAGGGAATTCGAATTGCAGTTCAAAACACCACAACTTTTAGGCACACTTTGCTTCGCTTATGGCGAGATTCTTCGAATGGAAAAGCGAACTGCAAAGATTTTTGGGCCATACTTCCATCCTTTCAAGCACAACCGTGATTAAAGCTTCATCATGAATCCCACAGTATTATTGTTGATTAATACTCACGTCTGGATTTAGCTTAACATGATCTCTAATATGTTCATTCTTCAGTTCGCTGCCTGTAAACACCTTAGCTCCCTTAGATCAGGTTATGGAATCATCACTCCTATCTTGGATCATACATTTAGTTCTATTTAGCAATGTAATTATTTTAATGTTTATTCTTCCAATATATCAAGCCAATGTATATACCTTGTTTAACTTGGATTCACTTAAAAAAGTAATAAAATACACCGTTCTTAGTCAAATCTTGAAGCAGCGACGGGAAGAACTTGAATGTCTCATAAAGTATATCATGCCTATGATACATCATCTTCCTACGTTGATCAAAGATAGACTAATTAAAAGTTTTTTTTATATCGCTAAGATTGATAAAACACTTTTTTGGATTGATGTGTTCTCATATATCAATATATTTCTGTACATGAGTAAATGGTAACTATATTTCAAGTTGAGGGTAAGGAGATTGTTGCTGTCTGGTGGACATCATATTCCTTTAGGTAGTTTTATATGTAAACTTAAGGTAAACTTAAGATCTACTCACTTTTACTTTGAAGTAAGCCTAATTTGTGATTGAAAATTATATAAGGCTTGGTATTCATTTCACACAAAAATTGGTTTTCTTTACCTTGTGCTGGTTGAAGCATTAGATGACAACTTAATCCTGCTGCAATTGGTGGATTAGTTGTTGCAGCATTGATGCTCTTTTCAGGATGAATCGAGGAAATAATTTTGTGTTTTTATGAAAATGCTAGTTACGGTGAATTCCTTCATGGGCGAGATCTCTGATTCAAGTTCTAATAGCCAGCTACCGCAAGATAAAGAATAAAGCACAATTTTGTTTTCTCGTGGATCAAGTTGCTCATACTGTTGATCGTTGATTTCATTTTAGGTGGCAGCACTGCGGCATCTTTTGCTAAATCGATCCTCCAGAAATTGAGTAAGTCTTGAAAATATAAGCATAATTATGAGAACACTATGAAGTTCATCACGTTTGAAATCTTAAGAAGGGCTTACCTGATTGGATACCCTCTGTATAAGATTAGCGGATGATTAATTTCATTAATCTGAGATCGTAGTTGACTCACATACAAGAAGATCAGATGGCATAAGCTTGACTAGACACTAAACCAAAACCTAAGTCTCTTCTTCTGCCCATAGATACCTCAATTCTAATCCTCGCGACTCCATTGTAAAATCTGTAGTTACGATTGGGTACTGATCCTGACAAGACGAACGAGTTTTAAGAGTCGGAATAGCTTACGAGTTCAGCCTCGTTTGTTTGATTGATGATGTTACACAATTATCAATCAAATAAGCGTGTTATTCAAGTTGTTTCACGTGTCTTGCATTTAGCATTTAGTTGGATATTATTAACTCACGTTCCAATGCACAATTCATGATTCTATCGATATTACAGCGGTCTCGCTCTCATATTGTGAGGCTCCGTCTGTCTACTGTCGTAATAATCGAGAAAATAAACCATAAGATTTACGATAGTTTTGGCCCGTGAGATAGTATCTGTTGACATGGAGAGATCTGGATTCTGCGTTGAAATGGTAAGGTCACATAACGACATTAGTCATTCACTGCCCGTGGGTAGCGATTGATTCTTTGCGTTGAAGCAGCACTATCAGCCTCCAGCAAAGTGTTGCTTTAGAAAACTGTCCGTGCTGAGGCCAGCGAGGACAAACGAGAGTCATACCACATCTGGATCGATACCAGCTCACAAAGGAGAGTTTGTAACAGAAATCAGGCATAACAGAAATCATGCACACACAGAAGGTGCATTGGCACCTGAAGATGAATAAGCTGAAGTGCGGTGCATACTCCTGGAATCAAGGCATACTCTGACAATAACCCTAACTGTTCATGCAGAAGCAAATTCTGCATGCTGCATACAAAAGTTTGTGACCTGTAGCGGCAAAAGACAAGGACAGCACAAAGATGGTGACCTCTCCAGATTTTTGTCAATGACCTATACAAAGGTACCTGGTTCATGCACTTCCTAAATCCAGGTCGATTATCGACTACAAATCTTACAAATTATCAACAGCTAGAATTGTAAAACAGCTCGCTCTGAGTGTTTTAACAACAACGAGTAGCTGGTCGGTGCTGGCAAATTATTCAGCTTAATGCGGACTCGTTACAGGAGCAGAGATTCAGTTCAGCCGGATCATTAGCTGGGACAACTCGGCCGCAAGATGGTGCACGACATCTTGTACCTTGCATCTTCATTTTTTCTGGTCTTGTACTTTCCTGGTCCTAAAAACTGTTCAAGAGAGGAACCTCACAGGACAGAATCGTACATTGGGAGTAAATGTTCCACAAAACGGGACATGGGGAATCTCTGGAAAAACCCGGGACATTTTGAAGTGCGTGTTTCTCTGAGCTCAGTTGTATTCACAACGATTTTCTGGATTTTCTGGACAAGAAAATCTACTACGGGTACCACTGCAGATTCTTCCGGTGCTGGTGTCTGAGACTTCTAAAGTCACACACGCACTCACTGGACAGCGTTTGCTGAAGGCGTGGTGTGCTTGCAGTTGCTCTCCTAGCCGCCGATCAGTGAATGTAGGATCCTACCAGCAGCTATGGACGAATAGTCTTGTTGAGGAGGGATTAAGATTATGCTTTAGTTTGCAAGCTGCATCTAGACTATATCCATGAATATGACAGATTTCCATAGTCAAGTCCATGCCGAAAATTATCTCCAGTGCACCCAAATCACTGCATGTCTACTTTCAGAGAAATACCGTGGAGGAAAAATGTCCACATCATCTCTTGATGATCTTTCTCAGTTCCGAAGGCTTCAGCTTCTGAAGACCTTCGCCAACTTTTTCGTAGGAATTTGTGACGGCCACCTTGACTTCGTGCATGGAACCTTTCTTCAGGGATAGGCTAAAACCTAAGAGAACAAGAAAAATCGCTGCATGTCTGAGTATTTGGAGGTTCGGCGGACCTGAATTGATCCAGGCATCGAAACGTCTGGCTGTGGGGGTGAAACGCGCAAAGAAATTTCCCGCAATTGCAGTGAGAAAAATGAATTTCGGAAGCATGCTCTTCCTTAGCGCTGGAGATTGGAGGCAGATCAAGAACATCATGAACATGAAGCTCAAGTACATAAACAGATGAAGAGTTCTAGAGTGCCTATGAGCTTCTATTGTCGAGGAGGAAGAAGCAGAACGTGAAGATGCGGTGGCGTGGATGAAGGACTCGGAGTAGATGAAAGTCAAGAAAGCAGCAACCATCGTCCCGAGGAAGAGAACAAGAAGCATAATTCGCTGATCCTTCGTCATCATGCGCCAGTCCGCGCACAAAGCGAACGGTACGAGAAAACCTACCAGAATTCCCACCGGCATATTAACGAATTCTGCATACTGATCCACTTTTCCTTCTTGACTGTGGCTAGACGTCGACTGTCCTGAGGTCGACGCTAGGGGTTGTTCCCAGATCACTATACTCTTAGATGCACGCCTCGTTGGAGGAGGAGAAGTCACTCTCTCTGCGCGATTCTTCTTTGCCCTACTTCTCGCCATGGGAAACCTTTCCGCCTGCTTTTTCTTCGTAGAATGCCTTCACATGAAATCGACCATGCCCTTGCGATTTTATAATTATCTCTTTTGTTGCTCTCGTCTCATGTAAACCGGATTAATGCTGCCAGTCAGATTCTCTCGTAAAAGTTCGGGGCTGAAGTTTCCAATTTACTTATCGCACCTTTTTCCTGCTTTAATCTGGTCCAAAATCATGGTGTTCCGCGACCAAAATCTACGGGCATCGTCATGGTCGTGATTAAACTCGAGACTCGTCGGCGTAACTCGTGTTCCTTCACATCCCATGCCCAAATCTTACAGCCACCGGTGCTAATTGTAGTCTCTGCTTTGCTTTCGTGTGAGGTGGTGGCTTTGCATGACCTCTGCGTGGTCTGATTTGTTGCCTTAAGTGTGAGGTTTTGCATAAGCCAGATGAGACGCCAGTAGACATGTCCCTTCAGTGTTTGCCCTTTCTCCGTCCGCACCCTCGACCTGACCCCTTGACAGATTCATCATTTCCCTAATTTAACGGGCTTTGTCTCTAACCTGCATTACTGCAAATTTCCAGCACTCTCAGCGCCGGGGATTCTGTAAATTCGACCCATTCATCAGATACTACCATCCACAGCATAAAGAATAGAGAAAAATCATGATGAACGTACAAATTCTCCGCATACGGCTCACTAAACTGCCTGAAAATGAATAGACGCCGTCCCTAGATTGTAATCGTAGAATAAACGATGCAGATGCAGCTTTACCATCAGTTTCGAGTGATTCGATTTGCAATTGAAGGTACAGAACTGTCGTCTGAACCGAGGTGGGTCCAAACTAAGCTGAATCCGTTTGGTGGCTCAGACGACGGCGGTCTGTGCCTTCCGCAGGCTTCATCTCTTGTGCTTGGCGTGTTGCAATCGGGCTCCAGACTTGAAAATCACGCACAAACCTGGCAGACAGTGATGCTTCTCTGACAGCTTATGAAACAGGTGGCCTCCTTCAGATGTATCTCGAGGGAGAATGCAGCACAAAGTGATATCTGACAGGGGAGCAATATTCAATAGATCTGAAGGATTCGGCCAAAGGAAATCAGCGAGATCAGGAGATTACTACTTTACTTAGATGCTAAATGAGAGCAGAGAGTGGCTTTCTACTACTGAAACTCTAACCTACTAGTTTCAACCCTCTTCACAAACATTATTTTTAGTGAACTGCCATAAGGATGACCCTAATGAGTACACAGGGAAAACACATGTGCATGATATATTTTTTATTGATTTTCCGTGCTACTTCAAATTGTCTTGAGTTACACTTCCATTCATATAATGTCTGTTATGTCTACTCATCAAAATGTGGAGGATGATTCTTTCAATCACAATCTTATTACAGTAGTTATATTATAGTTCAATCATTTCAATGTTCTTCGGATATATTGATGATAAAAATTTTACTATTTTTAGTTTTAAATCCATCCCTTATTAATGCATTTTCAGAAAATTAGTCAAGTGTAGTATCAATAATCATCCCATATAAGATCATAGTTCAATGACGTAACTCGGTTACAAAATTATGTCTTCCAACCTCATCCCATGCTAATGTTTTTCTTCCATCTAGATTTTGTCACTCAAAAACTCTGCTATGTACATGATTAGCGATAATCATGTTACGTGACTTGATACTCTCAAGTCACGTACAACTCCAATATCGTCAACTACATCACATATCAAACTTCTCTATCCATTCATAAGTGAGATGTATATCACATTTGTTATCAAAAATATCAGATCTCAAGTCTTAGTAAATTTTTATATTCCTCATGAACATAGAATCAATGTGAATTTCAGTTGCATCTAAGATAATACATTTGTACATTTGAGTAAGGAAAACATGGATACGATGAAGAAGACAAGACGTAATATACTTTATGTAGAAAAATTAATTGGTGCTAATTAAAAATAATTTGATGCATTTTCGAAAAAAATACAAAAAAATACATTTCTATCAAAAAATATAAGTGTAGAAGACACCTTAAGAGACAACAATAAACGTAAAATGCATCGAAATTGAAAATTGAAAATATTTGCTGTGTAAAGATATCAAAATGAATCTTAAACTTTTTAACCAATCTCTGATTAGCTAACAAAGAAATGAGAATTAAACTAGTGAGAGTTATAAGTTCAATACTTAGATTCACATTCCAAAAACTGAAAAAGACTATTATCTTATGGTGGTTTTCATATGTGAACGACTAAATGAGTTACCTGAATTAAAGTGATAGTTGCCTGAAATTTACATATATACACCGGGCAACATGATATTAGACAGTTTGTGTCGAAAGATATTTCAGTTGTTTTCTTTTTCTCATAAATAATAAAGGGTAAAAAATGTTGGAAATTCTTCAGGATGCACTTGACTAAATAACATGTATTCATTTGTTAATGCTGTCCTTCGTTAATTCCAATCCTAGAACTGCAGCACTCGAGGAGTTTAGTAAATAAATAAATGCACAACCTTAGTAGTGGGCTCTTTTGGTCCCATATCTACTTCAATATAGAAAACAATCTGCATGTATTGCAGTTACACATGTACTTCGGAAATTCAGTTCACCAACCCAGTTATACTACTGTATCATATGCGAATTAGGCAATATGGTACATGAAATTTCAGGCTACTGTGGTACACGTAACTTAGAATAGAGTCTAAGCGGCCAGCTCTGGTGCAGGTTCCTTCGAACATTCTAAATACGATATTGGACTCGTACTGTACTAACGATTTGTTAGCAAAAGACCCTACGGCAGACGGATTGGACATCCTTACTGATCGAGGAGCTAAAGATCAGTAAGTGCGAAATGGCGTTGTTATAGCCGGAGACGAGAGACGTGGAAAATTCTAGAAACTTCCGGCAAGAAACTGTCAAGGGACTGATGTGCTTCTCGTCGAACTATTGCGAATCTTCTGAGAACGTGCGCCTGTGGAAGTCAAGAAACTCAGAACTCACGTCCTGGTAGTTCTAGAAACCTCCAGAATTACCAGACACACGGAGCTCATATACTCACTGATCCTCGGCCTCGGCGTATCGACAGAGCAAAGGGCATCGGCCTCCCGCAGGCGACTCGGAGGAACATTGATTTGAGGCTGGAGCTCGCTTCCGTTTCGAGAGCTGTGGTGGCACATTGGTGTTGTCCATTCGCATCGGAATCTTGATGGTTGTGTACTTCGGGATTCGTAATTCACGGCGACCAGGAGTACTCGAGCAGGACGAGATTAGACGCCAATTGCCATCTGTCCATGTAACTGACGCTGAACCGAACAGATTCCCGATCGAGAAGTTGATATCACTCTACAGCTGGTGAAATCAAGAGGTCACTCGTCACGTATGGACCCCGTCCCTTGACTTAGGGACAATTGTGCAGTTATGATTAGGGCTTGCATTACTATTACACAAGTGGTTCGACTAAAAACTGATGCAAGGTTTTCGTCCGAACATGAGTAATCGAGAAAACTTGTAACAACTGCACAGAAATATGCCGCTCCTTGAAAACCCGCGAAATCTCTCACCTTCAATCAAATCTGAAATTCATCACTCTCCATCTGCTTTGATGAAAAGCTGCTGCCTGCCACACGTTTGAGACTGTGCAATGTGTCAATTCTACGTGTTCCTTGCAGGCGTTCAGATTCCGATCGGATTCCACTAGGGCTTGGACAGGGCAGTTATAGCTGACGAGGCGGTTGAGAACTCGAAGGTCTGACCAAGAGCTCGCGTGATCGGTTTTGCACATTTCCATCTTCGTTCGTCTGAGTCGACAAAGATAGATCCGTACACAGCAAGAGTTATATACGCAATGGCTGGCTCGCCATTTCTACATCGGGCAGCTCATCAGCTGATGGACAGGTTCGATCCGATAATCGGTCATGTACTGGATCCGTTCGAGAACTTTTCTTTGCGAGACAAGGAGTGCGCTCCTTCTCGGCAGTACGTCAAGGACGCGAACGCCGCCGCCAACACGCAAGTTGACTGGTTGGAGACTACGGAAGCACATATATTCAAAGCAGATCTGCCAGGTATCAGTACTTTCTTGCCCTGAAGCGTCTGCAACCTATCTCGACTGCTAACCTTCACCTATCAATCTGAATCTTTCCAACAATCCCATGCACGCGAACGATCGTTTGCATTGAATATCTCAAACGGAGGAGCTCTTGGCATCCTCGAGCCATCTGCAAAGCTTGTAGAATTGCAATGCCATTCTCGTATTAACGATGCAGCAGCAGTGCATGAAAGCCCAACGATATGGATCTTGGGTTGATGAAAACATAATCGAAAGACGTCGCTTCTCAGGTTTAATGCGCGAGGACGTGAGAGTGAAGATAGAGGATGGTCAAACCTTAGAAATCAGTGGAGAACGAAAAAAGGAGGAAGTCCAGAAGACCGACACTTGGCATCGGGTGGAGCGAACCCGCGGAACCTTTCTGCGCAGATTTCGGCTGCCGGAAAATATTGACACAGAAAATGTGAAGGCCCAGGTCGAAAACGGAGTGTTGACAATCACTTTGCCCAAGATTCTTGCTCCCAAGACTCAAGTCCGAACTATCGAGGTCCAGTGAATTCTGCATCAACCCCGGAAGACTCAGTGCTGACGAACAGCCGAGCCTGAAACTTTGAACAATTTTGTTTTCTCAATGAAACTTCATCAAATTTCTTGATGAAGAGTTATCCCCACAGAATCTTAGAAGCGATGAGAATCCGCAATACAAACCCAAAATATTGACAAATCACTCTGTCTGTGTCAGCTTTCGATTTGCATCTTCTCTTATATGTGTAAGTTTGTACAGTTTTGTCAGTTTTGGACCACTCAAAATAATTACGCTCCATATCAGCGTGTGAGCTATGATGAAATAAGCCGAGCATTTTAATTAAGTCGACATAACTATGGAAAACCTTATTACATAGAATGCTTTTGTAGCTTTAATGTCCATGCCAAATTGTCCAACTTTCAAGTCTCAGACTTAGTGACATAATAAGTATCCAGGTGAATTACCGTCAATAGTTCTCTAATGATATCAGGATTTCGAAGAGAGATACATTTCTAACTGCAGTTATGCATTAGATGCATTCTATCATTTTGTGTTCTAACTTCAATCTACACATTCATGATCTTTTACAATTCACATGTTAGTTTTAAAATTACCAATTAGAATTCTCTTCTGATTATTTATTTTGCAACCTTTATGAACATATAAGTTGTTTGCAAAATTTTTACACGAATTCATGAACTTGAAATCATTTTTGTAAATCCAGTGTGTAGTCATAAATATATATTAGAGAATTATTCTAATTTTAAATATTATAATTTTGAAGTGATATACAATATTGGTTGCAATTACCAATTACAATTCATTTCTTCCGTATTTCTTTTCCAATAAATATGTACATATTCACAATTCTTACAATTTACATGCTCTAACATACTTATTATGTTAAAATTACTCCTTTTTTCAGTATTTCATCATCAAATAATGAATATGTTATGAAAATCAATTAATCAACATCACAAATGTTGTACAATTTAATTTAACAAAATTTTGCTCAAACACGCGCAATTTCATCTTTAACTAAAACCACTCAACCTATGTCATCCAATTGCAGGTTGGTGTAATAGTTCGTAAATTTTTGTTCTAATTAAGTGGAAACTCATACACTTGCAAGTTGGTGTATTAGTTGGTAATTCTTTGTTTTTATAAAGTGGAAAGTTAAGCTTCAGCCAATTTGTTTAGGGTTTAGGGTTTAACCTAAACATTAAACCATATAAAATAATTGCATCATATTTTCAACATTTTATTATCTTATTAAATTAATATGAATATATATTTGATAGAATATATTAAAAAACTTGTAAATGATTCAATCATCTATGAATTACATATCTATAAATATTTAAACATAGTAAAAATAATGCATGTGATTCAACATTTTCAAGTCTGAAGCAAAAAAATACTAATCATAAAAATTCAAAAATTTAGAATTTTTTCCAAATAGAATTTGTAAAGGGACTCCCGTGAGACCCGCGTCCCCTCGCGGCCTATAAATTGGCCACCCAGGAAAGCGCCTAATGCGCCAGGGGCGACGCCAGATAACCCTACCCAAAACTTGGAAAGGCGGCTTGAACTTGGAACTCTGCACTCAACCTGTAGATAACATGTCTTTCCTCACTCATCAGTCCTTTACATGTCTTTCCTCAGTCAGTCAATTAATGTTCATAAACGGTATTTATCATTATCAATTTTTAGAGCTTATCAAAGTAAATCATGCTCGTAAATCTACTATTCAAAGGTGGAAGCTGAGTCCAAAAGTAGTTCTACTAGTATACTATTAGGTATAGATTCTATGTCTAAGAGCCATGATAAAGTCAAGAGATCAAAAACTTATGGCTAGAAGGTAGAGGAATTACTCTCAATGAGAGATTAATAACCTAGTCATAGCAGAAAGTACTTTCTCATGCCAAAAAATATGTTGACTTCAGGAAGTTACCGATAGTTCGAATTCAGTACAAAACCATTTGTACGAAGGTTCGAAGTCTTGATGTCCGTTGCACAACTGACGCACAAGTGTGAGAGTGAGTGACAGATTCCACCGTGAGTCCTGGAGGTGGCGGACGCGGACCAAGACAGTGAGCTCGTATGCTCGTGGATGGGCGGTGCACAAATCTATCAGGCAGTGTTGTACATGCGCACATTTCCAGCTTGAGCGTTGAGCTTTTTGTTTCCGAGGCTTGATACTCGGTGTATCTGCTCACCATCTATTGTCTCGTATTTTCGGTGCGTTTCCGATCTCTGCATATGGATTCAACTTCTCTCAACTCGATAGATATGGCCATTGCATATTGCTAAACCTTTGAGATTTGCAGATGTCTCAAGTGTGTTCGTCAAACCGACGAACCGTGAGTTTCATCCAACTTAATTATAAGAAATTGGGGTGAATGTGAAGCGTTCTGTATGTGATAGTAGCAGATCCAATTCCACCTGGAAAATCTTCACATCTCGCATATATATTACCATGTTTCGTTTCAAATTACGAAGCAAACCTAGATCGTTCCGAATTGATTTTTATCAATAGAAGAATTGAGTGATACCATGAATAGATGATTGAGAATATGGTTTCACTGCGGTGAACATGAGGAAGATTTGAGATGTCATTTCTCAGACAATTGGTTGAAATGCCTTTGATTACTTAAGAGTTCTAATTGCTGCGCATAGTCCAAAGTGTGTTGATGAGGTAGATGTCTTTGTTTGTATATTTCAAGCAATTTGCACGTGTAATACAGTGTGATAGCCATCTACATATGTTGAAAATATAAGTCATTCGGTCATATGCAGTTATCTATGTGTGAGATTATATGGATTTTGCAGCGTTTCAATGCTGTCAGATAAACATTTTGCATTGTTGAAAAGTTTTTAAGACTATACATCTTGTTGTAGTTATATCAAGTTTTGGTAAAATTTCGATGTTTGATTTAAATAAAAAAATTGAGTCTTATAGCTTTCCATTTATTTGAACTCATTGTGCTAAAGAATGTATTGCTATCCAACGCGATTAAATGCTTCCGTGTCTTCATTGCCTAAACTAAAAAAAATCCCGTATGTAGTTTAATCGCAATGAAAATTTGGATTACATGCATTAGTTAATAGTTACATCATTCTCTTGATATACATTCCATACTAATTAAATGCAGGTAGTTTTGTTGACTTGCACAATATGATTGACACAATATCTCTTTGTGTCAATCATATTATATGTATGAGAAATTTCGAGTTTTTTATGTCTCAACAACTAGTTTTAGATTCATTCACTTATGTTGTAACACTTTTTTGTCACATATGTCACATCCACAATAAGAATTAAATTTTTGGGGATGGATGTATTTTTTGTCATCATCATCGATTTTTAAAAGTCGAAGATGTATATTGCGTGATAGGAATTTTTCTCATGCAAAAGATTTTTTTGAAACTTCGAGAAGATTAGCTTAGAATCTACTGTTTCACCTTAAAATTTACTCTTCAAACCTTGTATACAAAAAGTCTTAATTTACCTAGGAAGAATAACGAGGAATTCAGTCTAAGAAGCTATTGAATTACGAAGATACCAAATTATTTTAAATGTAAAACAAATACATAATTTTTTCCATTTTTTGATATGGTAGAGCCATAGCTCCTTGTTTCCCCTTTCGTTAATCTCTTTGGAAGGTTTGATGTCGTCTTTCCTTCTTATTCTTTTCCATTTGCATATGATGATTTAGCGTCTAAGAATTTCTATCATGTTAGGCCTATCCATAACTTTCCTCGGGGAGTAGATGAGGAGTTAATTTTGTTGTAAATAGATAGAGACCATAAAAGTTCAATCCTCATGTTTTTAAGCATCATGCCTACCAAAGTATAATGTTGGGTAATATGCGGACACCTTGCAGCGGAGGATTAGATGTCAGTATATAAATCGATAACTACATTGAATCTGAGCTGGGGTCTTACCTTAACTACATGCTATAGATTACATTACAGCGATCATCATTATAGATTGAGAGTCTATGTTGAAAAAATTATTTAAATCTACGCATACAACACTACACGATTTGAGGGTGATGAGGTATTTCCAAAAGGTGTGATTTACTATGATCTAGAAGTGTGGAATCAAGTCGTAATTTTTATGATAGATAAAGCTGCAGTTTCTTTAACCCAGTCGTTATCTTGCTTTTCCTTCGCATTTAACAAATTGAATGTACGATATATTTTTCTTTGTACCTCTTTCATTAAAGTAATATAGATTATTGTTTGTGTTGCTTGACTTAGATTCCCTGTTCCTGCAAGAACAGGGAAGCATGCTGGAAGCCTGTTGAAGGAAGAGAAAGAATAGATGTCAAGATTTCGACACAGATATCCTATGTCATCTAGGAAAGTCCGAACCGGCAATGCCAAGGTGATGAAGCGAAGATCAGTCAGAAGCCATCCTTTGGCATTGAGGAGGGGAGAAGGTCCACCTTTTGTTCCTGCAGGATGGAGTTGGAAATTTGGTAGAAGGGCACTTGATTATGTCTATACGTCACCGTCGGGCCTAGCATTTCGATCGAAGAAAAGTCTTCGAGTTTATTTGTACAGTATTTCACAAATGGAAAATGCACCAACTATGGAGGACTTCAGTTGGGACTTCTCTTCAGCTGGTGAGAACCTCCTCCTTCACGAAGTATTAGACTCAATACCTTTTGAAGTAAGAAAAAGTATATGTTGACTCAGTCACCTTTGTTCTATGTATCCTAAATCCAGTAAGTTTCGTCCATTTTTGCAGTATGTGATAAAATCCTGGGCATCGTTCCATCCCATCCTACAGAATCTAGGTCAGAATTCAGAATTTCATCTCGGATGATCATGACGGAAGATCAAATTGCTTCAAGTTGTTCGAACGACGCTACTTCTCCGATGGAAAGTTCTTCAAACTGGAAAAGCTGTCAGAGAAATACGAGACAAGATCAAAGCTTGATGAAGTATCGTACAGTCAAGTATCATCCAATGTGGGCTGGTAAAGTGGTGGAGATTGGTGAAGACTCTCCATCAGATAGTGAATGAATCTCCAGACCTAACAGGTATCTTATTTCATAATCAACGTCATGTTGGTTTGAATCTCCAGATTACAGCCTTAAGTTTATATCTGGAAAATTGAGTATTTTTTAAAAGATATATACAAAAATCATTGATAGTAAGGAGTGGTGAGATAACTCTGAAATCTGGATTCGTTTCCAAAAAATACAACTATGAAGCCAGAATGCATTATGTTTTCTCCCTCGTAATTCTCAGTTTCCTACTATATACTTTTATTTGTTCAACAAGTTGATATGATAAAAGTATTTCCGCTTGATGCTGAAGTTCTGGGTATTGTACTTCCTTCGTTCTGACTTGTTTTTCCTATGGTAATATGACTAAAATAATCTGGAGATTTTATTACTGAAATGCATAACGATATTTAGTGTGGAATGGTTTTCAACGGAAAGTCATACTTCTAAAACTTGTATAATTGTACAGCCTAGCAAGTGATAGTTTACTCAGGTGGTGTTGCTTATATGAAATATAGTTTACTTCATTCGGTAATTAGTCTTTTAAAATAAAATTGTGATGACCGAGCATACTGTCAAACTCCCTCTATTTTCCATGTTGTGAAGTTGCATTGGGCTACCAGGAGTAGCCTTGCACTTTCCTAAAAGTTATCACTGAAAATGTATGTCATCGTAAGGTCTAGAAGTTTTCTGTCTCTGCATGTATATATTATGCTGATTTACATTTATCAGTCTCATCTCAGGAAAGATGGCAAAGCGTTTTGAGAAAGTAAGGAGTTCATGATATGTTATAAATATTATTCTAAGAATATGTCCCCCTACATAGTTCTTTGATAGTCAAGAGATAGAAGTGCAATAAATATATGATGTATATTTAGGTTATGAGTATTATTTGAAGATTTTTTGTTTATAAAATCATGTGATATATGTAATAAGTGCCCTTACATAGCGTTCAATGTGTGTATCGTTAAAGATATTGACAATATCCTTCCAAGAACTATAAATATTACATTGCTATTTGCTATATGTATATACAGGGCGTATGATTTGTATAAAAAATGTGCATAGTACATACTATTAGCAATACTACGTCTGAAATTGCAAACATATATTTTCTTTGTTAAAGTAATGGCTCTACCATCCGAGGTGAAGGTAACTGAGTGGGGTGTTACTTTATTGAAATGATACAAATACAATTGATATCTTGATTTGTATCTAGAGTAATTTCTAGCAATGCAATAAGGGATTTGAAATATCAGAATTTTCACCTAGAGAGATTTTTGCTCTGGAAGTTTTTGATTATATCTTCTTTCGTGAAAATTCTTCAGATTCCTACTCCAAGGCAATCGACTCGGAACTATCAATAAGCAGACAAGTATCAGTGGGGTCCCTGAAGGACACATCCGAGAGGCGCTCTTTGAGGGCCACTGCCGGCCGGCGTCAACACAAGTGATGCTATCTGCATGTGTCTTCAGAATGACTCCAAGAATTTTCTTTGGGCAAGAGGCCATACTCTCAGGCTTGAACTCAGTACCTAACCTTTGAATTATGGCCGAAAGACACCTGGGTTTACAAACTAACCGACCATGAGACATGAGACCGCCACATCAGCCTGGGCTCTTAGTCGGTCGGGTGCAAGCGCCGTCTTGTTATATATATCGGTTTGAGATTTAGTAAGATTGAGCAGATTTTCCAGCACATACTGAATTGTTCCTGGGTGAAAAAGTTTGAGATACTATCTGGACTTTGCTTTCCAGCTGTGATTCCCTCATTTTTTATGGGTCACACAATCTGCTGCTTAGAACTTTATCCAGAACTCTGGTTCCCGCAAGTTGTAAATGTGTGTCGAGCCAGGATAGTGTTCAGTGTTAACTAGCTGTGCCGACGTTTGTGCTTCAGCCACTCATGGTGCAGGATAACGATTTTGAACCAGAAGCAACTTAGATCTTCAAAAAATCTAAAATGTTAGATTTCTTCTAGAAAGAGACGTAACGTAATTCATTTCTGTCACCATATAAAATTATATTATAATTTTTATAACAAAGATTCCTAATTTTCATAATATTTAATTTCACCCTAACGCTTATGCTAATGTTTTTAATATATGATCGATAGTCATTAAAATAACCAGTAACGATTTGAATCATGAGTCGCTTGCAAACGAGCTCAACATAAACCATCAAAAACTATATTTATGTTTACACACAGAAATTTAATTCTAAGAGCGCCTGAAATTGTAATTAGCGTAGCAGGAATAGCACGTGTCAAGCGGAGCAGATTCTTCAAAGACAGTGATCCGGCTCAAACTGTTTTGTCAATATCGTTCGAATATGGAAGAAAAGGACATCTGATGCTAGCATGCCACCACCCGCCGCCTCATGATAAGCTCCGATCGGTGAACATGCACCTACCGGGGGGTGAAAGGACATTATGTTTGTTTTGTTGGGTTGTTTGAAAGATCGAAGAGTAAGTAGAACTCTGCACTATGCAAATCTAATATTGATAGTTATCATAACGAACTTAATTCGGGCAAAGTTACTTTTGCAAGTACTTTCTGTCCTATGATGGAAAATTTTCATCCTATTGTCTCCTGTTTAAATGGGAAGTAGCTTTACTATTTTACTTATTTATCCCACGTCTGTACAATCTTTGTTATATGCTCTTCAGAACTCGAGCATACAGTAAATCTGCAGCAAACATTCTTCCTGAGGTATCCACTCCTTCAAATCTTTGTATCTTCGACATGAACAGAATGTACAATGTAGTGCTCGTTGGAGAAGACTCTTGGCTATATAGTATCTTTAAGAACATACAAAGCATTCAAGAGAGATTTCGGGTAACTGCTGGAATTTGGAGGTACAGTCGATGAGGTACATGAACTATACTCTCCTCGGAGTAGTTTATGCAACTGACGACAGTTGAATTTAAACACCGTAAGAGTTCATAACAATGACTACGTTACAATAGACGGCACTCGAACGCTCGACAACGATAACCGCCTCACTGGTGAAGTACGTACGGTAGAGCGGAATTGAAATTTGAGAGCATTGGCAGATTTTCTATGACGCGGTCGTTGTGATTTGGCCATAACCGAGATTAGAATCGATCGAGAAGGTGACTTCGACTGACGCATGCCTTTTCGTTCGAAGCAACAGTCACTGATCTGAGATCAGTGATCTTGAAGGTAATCTCGAGTGAGCGGTCCAGAGGAAGTGGTCTGTGCTGCAGAAGAGGCTCGACGGTCAATTGACCTGGTAATCAACATGGATGTTGATGTCCATGAACCTACAGCAGCAGGGCAGTGTCCAGGAGTGCGGCCATGAAATCAGACATCAGAAGCTAGTATCAATCCGATCTAAAAGCACGCCGACGATTTCCAACACCATGAGTGTCGTTGGCTGGCCTTCAGAAAATTGCCTCTATCTGGAGTTCTGAGCAATGCACCGAAGGAGGAGGATATGTGGGTGTTCGGAACATGAAGATGTGGCAGTTCTGTTGGGTCAGGCAGAATTTCTGATCCGGCATGCGTGGCTGTGGTTTCAAGACATGTACAGACGCCAATCGATGGAACTTCCTGAAGCTCGCCTTCAGAGTCAAAGTCGACGAGACAATATTTGACGGAGCATCGCATGCTTTCGTGCTCTTCTACCCAACCAGCAAACCCGACTCGAACTGGAGAGTATATTAATGTCAGAAGCGTTCTCCCCTCCATACCAAATTCGGATTCAGTCCAGCTTGTGATGGATTCAGCGTTGCCTGTTGAAACTACTGCAGACTATACTCAGAACGATTGCGAACGTCTTGTTCACAATTCTGACCTCCACCCGAATGGAATTCTGCAACAGCAGGGAACGGAAGAGTCGTCGAATTCAACTCCAAAAACGGACTGCCTCCGCTGGCAGGCATCCAGAGCAATGGCAGGATCTGCTAAAATGCGACGGTCGCAATGAGGTGGATACTGAACTGCGGGTCCACAACAGAGCGGATGGAATGGACTGCATGTGCTTACCATCTATTCTAGTAACGAGTATAGTGTCAAGTCAACTGCGAAGGAAGGATGCAATCTATGTCAGGCTAATTTCGGACGGTTGACCAGCATGAGGCTAAGCCTACCGCTTACACCTGTGTAGATGACCGGGTGTGTGACGAGGGCAAGCGCATAAGGGGTCGACAACGGGATGAGCGCCAGCGAGATTGGGCCCCTCAAGCTGGGACTTTGAATTGTCTCGTAGTAGAAAATCTGGATGATATATCTCGGAGACAATGATGATTACTCATCGATAATGATCAAGAAAACCGCGTGAGCTTTTCTTAAGAATGGGGGTCAGTCAAGTATTTCAACACAGCTTCCCTTAGGACCGGTCACATCCAATCTGGGATCCATGGGAGTTGCTTTGCCTGTGAGTGAGACGCCTGAAATTTGCAGCAGAAGGAAAACCATCGCCTTTCAGAGTGATTACGACACATTGTTGGATAGCATACGACTTCTGGAAATCGACTAAGGAATCCTCGGCTATGCCGAACGTCAGTTGGAGCAGATGACAAAGCATTTATAATCCCAGCCTTCAACTGTGCCCACCATCGGCAGGAGATGGTGTCCTTTGGTGAAGCCACTGTTATTTCTATGGGACTTACGCCCGCAACGACAGTGGGTCCACAGTCCAGAGGACACGCTGAGACGATTAGACGGTTCGGTTACACAATTTGACTTGAGACTCCCGTATGACATTGACGACAGCCTGAGATAAAGATGATGCCATCAATGGCGATGGAGTCCAAGAGGAGAAGTTCGCTCCAACGACACGTGAACTGAGATCAATGCGGCTTCCTTTTTCTGGCAGTGTATCGTAGCGTCCAGCCATAGCACTTATCATAAGGAAACGCTCCAGATCGAATATAGGAGAAAAACTCAACAAGGTTCCGATTTGTTCACGCTAGAAGCGACTTTGCTTCCTGTCAGGCTGTGGACAAAGCGGTCACAATTGGTGACTTCATTATAATAATGTGGTACGAGAACCTCATGTGCAGATGAACAAGTTTAAAGGAACGATGAAGTTCGGGGCACTCGTGATTTGGGAAGAAGCGTATGCGAATACGCGCCTCCTGAGGAGTTGCCCGACGGACGCATATGGGCATCCAATGAATGATTGAATAAATATCCAAACTAACCTCTGGACTACAAGAATACCACTAATTATGCGAGTCTACTCGAGCTTTGGTGGTGATCGAGCACTGACTGCTCCCCTTCCCAGCTTGAGTCATCGACATCCATCTACCCTAACCAAGCTCTGGGTTACAAGACTACTCCTACTCCTACTCCTACAACTACAAGTCCACTCGAGCTTCGTCGGTGATCGAGCACTGACCGCTTTTCCATCGACGACATGCTGCCTCGTCAACTTCACGTCAACGAATGTGGGGCCGCGTCACAATCCAGTCGATTCTCGCCTTGAATCGGGTCGTCGTGTGGAACCTATCTGTCCGCCGCAGACGACCACAGAAGACCTCGTGGATGTGCAATGTTCACAAAGTCTCTACGGCGCACGAGCTTTCCTTTTGGCGCCATCCCCCTCCTCGCGGTGGGCCATGCTCGGGCCTAGACGACAAAGGCCCCACTTTTCTCCGCCAAGAGTCCAATTGGGTCAGCGGTGACAGTGACAGTGGCCACCAGCTAGGGAGGGCTCGATAGATTCTGCAAGAATTTGGCTCCGAATTCTCGCCTCCCTGCGCCGAAATCCTTCTGCCACTGGCAAATCTCTGCTCCCGATTCCTCCTCGACCTCGCCCTCTCCTCACGACGGCGAATGAATCCTCGGATCGTCGACAGTGCACGTCACAGAGGCAGCGGAGGGGTAAAGGTTCGTCCGTCCGTCCGTCACCCCGACGTGAACGGAACGCTGGTGCACGGAAGCCACCTGGCGCCCTGGATGAAGTTGGCCGCGCTGAAGAAGGCGGCCTGGTCGAAGGTCAGCGGGCTGCACCAGAAAACGCGCGACGTGGTATCGGCGGCGGGGCCGGACGAGCCACTCTCGCCGTAGAACAACGAACTGAGCGCGAACTCGCCGTTCCACGGCATCCAGCCCTCGGGCTCGATCACGGCGTCCAAGAACGAATTGACGTACACGGTTCGCGAGAACAGCTTCCACGGGCGCCCGAGAAATCCCAAATGCGCCGTCGGCTCGGCCAGAAACGCTTCCATGTACTCGGGCGTCCCCGACACGGTACAATTCTGGAACACCAGCCCCGTGGTCTGGCCCGGATCAGTTCGACCCTGCGCCGTCACCACGCTGGTCGGATTCCCCGCCCGAAGCCGCAAAAGAATCTGGCAGTCCTCGAAGACGGCCGCCGCATTTCCAAAGATGAAATCCACGGTGCCCCGGATGGTGCAGCTCTTGTAGAACTGCCGGCCGGCGTGCGCGTACAGAGTGTCCTGGAAGCCATCGAAGATGCAGTCGTAAAACGCCGACTGATCGGCGTCCACTCGCACGGCCACGGCTTGCCGGGACTCAGCGCCCGCCGTGTTCTGGAACGTGATTCCTCGCGCGACGAATCCCTTGCCCACCACAACCACGGTCGCGGTCTGGTACGTCACCACGCCGGGCTCCAGCGCGCTCTTGCTCGCGGTGATGACCGTCTGGTTGGCGCCGTCGCCCACGAACATGAGCATGGTCTTGTTCCTGTCCACTCGGATCCTCTCGGAGTACACCCCCGCCTTGATGTGGATGATGTACATGACGGACCTGAAGGCGGGCGCGCCGTCCACCGCCTGCTGGATGGACGTGAACGTCCCGGTGCCGTCAAGCGCCACTGTCACGTCCGGGACCGTGATGTCGATGGGCGCGCTCCAGTCGCAGCCTCCGTTCTCGGAGGCCCATTGGGGGCTAGTCGAGAGCAAGACGGCGTTGAGGTCCGTCGGCCTCTGCTCCGGCGGAGGTAACCACAGAGTAGCATCGGAGCCGTAGTAGGCCAGCGCGTCCGTGATGCTCAAGGCGATGCTGATGAGCGCCATGGTTGAATTCACCTCCGGAAGCACGGTGGCTGCCAGATCCGCCGGGGGACTGGGGACATTCACCAGCGCCGAGAAGCAGTCGTACTGGAACTGGAGCGCGGCGCTGGCCCAGGACTGAATGTCCTCGATCGGGGACGCCAGGAGAGAGTCGCGGGCCGTGGTCAGAGTCGAAACCGCGTAGTCGAGGGACTCCGCGCACACAGCCGCGGCCGCCGTAGCGTTGATGTCCAGCGCCTCGCCCGCGGCCATCAGCTGCACCGCGGCCAGGTCCCTCGTCGACGCCGTAGCTCCCAAGTCCAACGCGATTCTGGCGAATTCGGGCGAATTCGCGCTGGCCGACCGCGCGTCCGCTGCCAAGGCCGTGCTGCACTCCACCGGGAACCTCGTCGCTTGGCAGACCGCGGCCACAGTCGCCGTCGCGCCAGCGTCCGCGGACTCGAATGGCGCAGAATCCGAATCTCGGGTGACCGGCAGAGGGTGCCAATCGCCCGCGACGGTCGAGCACAGGCAGCAGCACCAGACGACTGCCCACGCCAGAGCGCCCATCGTCGCGCCTCCCTTCGAATTCTCTCGATGAATCGCTTCTCCCGCTCCCCGCGTTGTTCAAATATTCTCCTCGATGTCGTTCCGATCGAAGAGTCTGCTCCGCATTGCGCTGTGGAGCCGTCGGCGGGCGGTGCGTTCTTGCGTCTTCTCGTCGAGGGCGAAGCTCGGCTCGAATCGACTCCGCTCGCGATGGGCTGCTAAGCGAAGCGAGGAGAAAGTGAGGAGGCGACGATCACAATGTCTGCGCAAGTTCGGCGAATGGAGGAACGAGCTTCTGCACGCGCGCAATGCCGAACCTTCCGATGTACATTGCTCCCGTCCCGCGAGCTCCTCTGGCCTCGTCGAGTCGAGGCGAGTCTCGTGTGCAAGAACTAAAGGCGAGCTCGAGGATCACAATGTCTGCGCGAGTTCGGCGAATGGAGGGACGTGCTTCTGCACGCACCCAATGCCGAACCTTCCTATGTGCATTGCTCCCGTGCCGCGGGCTCCTCTGGCTGAGTCGAGTCGAGTCGAGTCGAGTCTCGGGTGCAAGAACTAAAGGCGAGCTAGGCGAGGCTTCGAGCAGTGGAGAAGGAGAGAGAGCGAAACGAAGCTCGGGCGAATGCAGGCACCATCTATCCGGGACACACTGACGCGCTTTCAGAAAAGGAATGGAATGCGTACTGCGCTGCTTTGCTTTTGCACCGGGGCCGCCAGCTCAGACGCCTCTACAGACGGTCGCGAACCAGCGCATCGTCGGCTCGTCGCTCGTCCGTAGTCATTTATTTTCAAACTCGAATCAATGTGGTGCAAACGACAGACTCGGGCTGGCCCTTCGAGAGAGCTCGCCGAAAGTCGACAACGTCACGGGAAACGTCCGCTGCTGCTCATGTATCTGCTCGATCCTCTACACCCGAGCACCAACCGGATCCCGACCGCCCGGCGCGTCCGGACCACCGGCTGCTGCAACTGGCCCTACTGGCTTGCAGTACAACTGTCCTCTACGTCGCTCTCTCCGGGTTTCGGTGAGGGCTATGCGGAGCGACTCGCTTAGTTGCACAAACTTTTACAAACGGCCGTACTGCCAGGTGTCAGGGATCCCAGTTTCTTTCTCCTCTTTCTTTCTTTCTTCATCCTCCCTTCGGGCTGCCCCGGATCAGCCGGATTTTATCTCAGTTTTGGGAACGGGGAGGCGGGGCACTTTGCGGGGAGGGAACGGGGAGGGCACTTTGCGGCAACCATGTAGAGGCCGCAACGTTGATCGCAGTTGATCTACGCCGCAACAATGATCGCAGTCGTGTCGTGGAACGTTGCGGGAAAAAGAACTAAAACTGAACTGCAAGAGGGATAGCTCAGATGGAATCCCTAATATTCAGACTGTAATATTTGTAATGAAACGGTGATAACAAATTGAGGCGACGAAATTTTAAGCGGCAAAGATTAGGGTTTTTTGAAAATAGAATCATATCAATATTCTCCAGCTCGTCGTTTTGACGTCGCTTTTGGGTGCTAGTGTCAGTGCTTTGAGGAGCTCGTGCCAGAGCTCGTGCTTGTACTTTTCTTGTCATTTCAGGTGCTTTTGTAGGTGTGGTGACAGCATGGAGGCAGGATGGATTGTGCAGGACCCACCTTATGAAGGCCCTTTCAATTCGTTAATGTTGAATTGGTCAAATGGGACGGCCTACATCAAAAGCTCGAGGCTTCACGATTTTGTTTCGGGAGAGGGATCTTGTCATAGTGATGCGAAGACAGAATTTGTGACACGTTGCTCATACAAGGGTGGAGGTACTAGGCACAATTGGGAATCGTATGCAATGTATTATTGCAAGTATGGTACTCCAGAAAGGGGCAAGAAGAGTATGCTTTCATCGAATTTTATTCAAGATCCATCAACGAAGGCAAAATTTGGTCCTGGCAGCAGGGATAGACTAGATCATGATTCGCATCACAAGGGCTGTCAGTGCAGGTTTAGTGCCATTAAACTGTTGTCTAATGATCACATTCCACCAGGAATCACAAAATTGATATACAAGCATAGAAGACACGTAAATGCTGCAGGTGTAGCTTGTCATGGCACAGCGTGTTCAGATAGTGTTGGCTTGCCATCTCAAATGGCGCGCAATTTATCCTCTGAATGCAGGTAACGGCATATTTGTTACATTTTCAATATATTTGTTTATCGTTCACAGTCAATCTCCCGTCATATTTGTAATATCTACAATAAGTTTGTTGTTATTACAGTTTGTAAAACTTTGACACTACACAAGCACGTTGTCTAATATTTTCTACGTTCTTATGCCAGGGAGTGGGTTGAATGCGAGTTAAGAAGAGGTTTAACTCCTCCACAAATTCTCATGCGTGCTGCAAAAGCACTGTTTGAAAATCATCAGCGCTTAGGCTATGTGCAAGGGTCCCCTATTAGAGATCATTATATCACATCTGCCGATGTGTATAATATCAAATTGGAACTGGACAAAGAAACTTGGAGAAGGCATGCTAATGATAGAATTAGCACAGAATTATGGATGAAAGCAAATTCATCTCAAGTTGTTTTGTATCAGGCACCAAAAAGTGATCCATTTAAACCATTGAGGCTTGCTGTTACAAGACCCTTGCTCCTAGATTGGTTGCTAAAACATGGAAATGGAGGTTGTGTTGCTATAGATGGAACGCATGGCACGCAGAAGTATAAGGTAATATTCTACTACCACATTTTGATGTTTTTATCATCAGGCTTCCATGATTATGTATATTCTACCTTACTATTTGCAATCTCTGCAAGATATTTGAAAAAATGACAGTTTGGAGCTTTAACCAATCCTGTAAGAGATTATTGAACGTCTCAATGTGTGATGTATATGTTGTTTTATATACCTTGATCACGTCTAAATTATCAAGACATAAAAATAGCGAATCATTCATTTGTATCAGGTTTAGCTTAGTATTAATGAAGATGAATACTTTGTAGACGATTGCTAGCAGCAAACTGATACGTTTATTTCATTTTTTGCAATGCAGTATCCACTGTACACCCTGATGGTGTTTGACGAATATGAACACGGACATCCTACTGTTTTTGGATTCCTCGAAAAAGAAGAAACAGAAGATCTGGTGGATTTATTATCTGCAGTGAAGAAGATGGCCCAACATTATATCCCTGGATGGATGCCCTCGTGCTTCATGACGGATTGTGCTGACAATGAGAGACTTGCCCTGGACATTGTTTTTCCGCATATCCCTGTATTTCTTTGCATATATCATGTTCGAAAGGCATGGACAAAGAAATTGATTGAGGTTGTGAGTGGTCATGAAAAGAGAGCTATTATGAATGCTGCTTTAGAAGACCTGTGCTTTGGAAGCACATTAATTGCTGATGGAGAAGAATTTGATGTGGAAAGATCTGCTGCGATGAAGCTTCTGTTATTTTACAAAAAATTTCAGCTCTCTGAGCCACAATTTGTGAAATACTTTCAAACAGAATGGGAACCTTGTATGGGTAAGTGTAAGTTTGTAACATGTGCATTATATTTGAAGTTATTACATTTTGGAAGTTGTTTTTTGCTTAATGAACTTCCACAAGCACATCTAACTTACTGTTTTGGAATTCAGGTCAGTGGATTCGTGATGAACGGAGGAAGACATGTCGTAACAATCAAGATACCAACAACGCTATGGAATCAATGCATGGACACATGAAGGATTTCCTTTATGGCTGGCGCAGGAATGCACATGAGCAACGTTTGGATCATACAGTATATGGTCTGCTAGGGGATTTTGTAATGAGAATTTGGTACAAAGATCAGAAGAAGCTACTTGGCTTTATTCCAAATAAGAAGAAAGATGAACGTGTGATTGCTGTGATCATGAAGACAAGATCTATGCTAACTGTCCCTGTTACTTGGCCTCATGGCTATGCAGGCCCCGCATTAGTGGGCTCTACATCAAAGCCAAATAGAAGGTATCTTGTAAATTGGAGACGAGAAAAGTATGCATGCGAGTGCTTCTGGTCACTCCAAGGCAACTTTTGCAAACATCAGGTACAACTCAGATTGTAATTCTGTTTTTGATTGCATATATTGGTCGTATGTGTATTTTTTATTAACACTGCTTGATTCATGTGTGTCTAGATTCTTATTCTACGAAGGAAAGGATATTCCGAGACCAACATCCGCATTTGTTTGGGCATACGGTTTGGTGGAATACGAGGTGGAATCAAAGAGCTCTTTGATAAAGGTCCTTCATCACAGATATATGATTTCAATGAGGATCCAGTCCTTCGAAGAGAACTTGCAGATATTGAAGTCAAAGATGATTGCCATGACACCTTCAACCTTACAGAAGGTACTTCAAACTGTCAGTTTAATGTGCAATAACTGCATATATTTTGCAGAAATGACAGTTTGAGTGATGAAACTACCTAACCGTACATGTTCTATGTGTTATCAGATACGGACAGCCCTGTAAAGAAAGCATCGAAGCCAACAGATCTGGAGGAGGAAGAAAAGATCAAGCGTGTTCTTCATACTCAATTGGTATGGCTGAAGGACTTTTTTGATGAAAATCCTAGTATGCTGAAAGTGGGAGAGCTAGAGCTCCGGCATTGCATTGGACGTATCAAGGAGTCTCACCAAGCATGGAGTACTGGTAGAATACTTCCTGTTGCAGACATGTGGCGTACATCCATGCTAGATAAGCCTAGCTCATCATTCAGGAAATTGAGTTGGCTTGAAAAATTAGCAGGCATTAAATGTCCTAAGCCACAGAGATTACTTGAAACAGGAGAAAGATTTAGAGCCCCTACCGCAGATTTAGGAAAGGTAGAAGAAGGAGCTTTACAGCTCAGACTTCGAAAGGGCAGGCAGAAGGCCAAAAGAACTCGAAGTCTGATCAAGCAATTCCTTCAGGCAAGTGCAAATAGAGAAAAACGTAAAGAGGAACAAGCTAGAATTCTAGGAGAGACGATCGACTTGACTCTTTCTCCCTAAGTTGTTTGCTTGTGATGCATAAATGTTGTTCCAATTTCATAGTAAAATGAAACCATTTTGTCCAATTCCACATTTAGCTGATGTGCATGCGCTGATTACAGTTTGGAAATTTACCATGAACTCACGGTACACAATTGTGTAAATTATGTGTGTAAATTATTTGTTCAATGATGACAGTCAATGTTGCTAAGATGACGTTTCAAAATTAAGAAACTTGATTCTGCGTTTTTTGATATTATTGAGATCCAACTTTTGATTGGATGTGACAGCTTGATATTCTTTCGTCAAAAGTCTTTGGAATTCCATGAGGTGGAGGCAGTGTAATGTGCAAGGATGAGAAGTAACTTACAGCACCAGTTAGATCTTGCAAGACTTGAGCTTATAATGTGTGATCTTGCTTGAATATTGACCCTCAGAACTTTACTTGTTCATTGCATATAGATTTACTTAAATAATGGGAAAAAAAACTCCTGTTTGAAGTTGAGGAATTAATCCTATCCATATTTGGACATGCACTTCACCTCTATATTCAATGACTGACCACAATAGTCTATTAGACTGGACCATAGAATTTTTGGGTACACTTGTTATGATGAGGTTCAGAGCATTGCACGTAAGTAGCGATGACATTCATTCGTTGCATCTTTCAAAAAATACAAACTTTTTTGAAAAAAAAGTCACGTACACAGTAAAATCCCACATGTTGTATTGCCAATATGTTGAGGTTGGAGATAAATTCATTCTATACTTGTCATGGTTGTATCTCTTA